GAGAGAATTGCCGTTTTAATCTGTAATCAAAATCCCAGCAGCTCTGTTTTTGCAATCAAGAAGCTGACAAGCTAATCCTAAAACTTATGTGGAAATACAAAGGGCCCAAAATAGCCAAAGCAATCTTGTAAGTTAGAGGATTTACACTTTTCAATATCAAAACTTACTACAAAGCTACAATAATTAAGACTATATCATACTGGCCTAAGGATAGCCATACTGATCAATGGAACAGAATTAAGAGTTCAGAAATAAACTTTTATACTTATTTATCTTTATCATCTTGTCTTTATCTTTATGGTCAATTGAGTTTTCAACAAAAGTACCAAGACAATTTGACAGGGGGAGAATAATTTTTTCAATAAATGATGCTGGGACAATGGCATATCCACCTGTGAAAAGATGAATCTAGATCCTTACACCAGACAAAAACATTAACTCAGGGGTGCCTGGCTGGCTCAGTCGGAGGGGTATGTGAGTCTTGGTCTCAGGGTCATGGGTTCAAGCCCCATGATGGGTGTAGAGATTACTTAAATAAAAATAACACTTAAAAAAAACCTCAAAATGGTCATAAACCTGATGTAAAACTTAAAATTATACAACTTTCAGAAGAAAATGCAGGAGAAAATATTTGTGATCCTGGGCTGGGCAACTATTTCTCAGATATGAAGACAAGAACACAATCCATAAAAGAAAAAAATTGATGAATTGTATTACCTCAAAATAAAAAAGAAAAACTTATGTGCTTTAAAAGATACCATAAAGAAAATGGAAAGATAAGCCACAGACTAGGGGAAATATATCCAAATCATTTATCTGGTAAAGGACTTCTAGCTAAAACATATTATATATATACATATAATTCAATAAGAAGAGAATTAATTATAAAGTGGACAAAAGATCTGAATAGACATTTCACCAAAACATCTGAATGGTCAACAAGCACACAAAAAGATGCTCGACATGATTATCATTAGGGAAATGTAAATTAAAACTAGCATGAAATAGCACTTCACACACACTGAAAGAACTGTAATCAGAGACAGACAAAAACAAGCATGGGAGGGGATGCTTACACATTGCCAACGGAAATGTAAAATGGTATATAGCTACAGAGGAAAGCGGTTTGACAGTTTCTTTTAAAAGTTAAAAATGAATATACCATATGACTCAGATATTCTACTCCCAGGAATCGACTCAACAGAAATGAAAAGATGTCCGCACACAGACTTGTATGTGAATGTTCATAACAGCTTTATTTAGAATAGCCCCAAACTGGAAACAAATGTCCATCATCGGGTGAAATGGATAAACAAAATATGGTTTATTCACACAACTGAATACTAGGCAGCAATAAAAAAAAGAACAAAATACGCAAGCTAAAACATGAACCACAAAAACATACTAACTAAAAGAAGCCAGGTGCAAAAACCATATATTATATGAATCCATTTGTATGAAATGTTCAGGTAAATGTCAGTGTGACTGCAAATGGGGGTGGGGATCTTTTTGGGATGATGGAAATGCTCTGAAATTGGGTTGTGGTAGTGATTGCACAACTTTGTAAACCCAGTAAAATATTACTGAATGAGTGGATGGAAATGAGTAAATTTTATGGTATGAAATTATTTCTTAATAAATAATGCTAATGATTTGTATGTTTAAATGATGCTAACGATTAATAAGTGTAATTTATATTATAGTGACTACAGTGCCTACATGGTCATCGATAAATGCTTGGATTGTTCTTTTGGAGGTTGTATTTTATCTTCTGAGCTCAGACCCGATGTCTCATAGGGCAAAGATAGCAATAAGTGCTAACGGCTGGCGTTCCTGGAGTCCTCTTTGTTCCAGACTCTAACGGTTTTTTTAAATATGATCTCCTTCAATCCTCACACCAATCCTTGGACATAGTAGCATTATGACTCTTCACAGTTAAGGAAACGAAAGCTTTGTTGAGGTCACGGGGCCAAGGCATGGAGAGTCATTTGCCTCCAACAAATCTAAGCTGTCCAGATGTATTGAAAACCTTTAAGACTTAAGAATTTCTAGTCCGGTCATGGGGCCAGCTTGGTGGCTCTGAGCACCTCCTTCATTCCAAGCCTTCCCTGTTTGAAACCTTGCTATTCTAGATTACCTGGCAGTTCTGCCATGTGAGGAGACTGTCGGCCACCGTAACACTAATTGCCTGCCTTCCTCTGACTTGTGTTTATCCATGTTATAACACTGTGACCCCTCCTGACCCACGTTGGAGGATGGTGATGAGTGGCAGCTTCTGAACACTGCCTGGTTGACTTCTGTGACCCGTGCTGATATTTTTGCCTCACCTCTGCCCTCAAGAGCTCCCTGGAGGTCATGAAAACTTTTCCCCAGGCTTTTCCCTCACCCAGGACTCAGTAGGCCCAAGGGCCATTCATTGTCACCCCTGGGCCACAGTATATATATATAAAGCCTCACTTTAGGAGGAAAGAACCTTCTATCGGGTTGGAATATTTTATCCTTTAGAGTTTAGGTCCTGGTGGTGCTCTAGGCTATGGGGTTGGAAGGGTTAGGCAAAGTTTCAGTTGCTAATTGGGCTTTAAATCCTTGGGCCCTCTCATACTTTCTACCATACTTTCTACCATTGCTCAAGTCCTGGGATTGTTAGGGTTTCATTGGCTCTGACCATTAAGCACTATGGCTAATAGATTCCTATTAGACATTAATTGAAACATAGAAGGAATGTGTAGAGACTCAGATGGTCCTATGTGAGGTCAAGTATGAGTGAAAATCCCCCTCACATCCACCAGCGTTCAGACAAACTCACAGTCTACGTACTCTCCTGCAGCTGACAATTTGATACCTCTAGTGTTTTTTCATTGTTCCAGAAACTGCCTCAAATTTGCTCTACTCATTGCCATTGCTACAGGTATCCACTATGTCTGGATTCAACCTGCTCATCAATCACTACTTACCAAATCTCTCCCGTGATCAGGACCTATGTTAGGAGCACAAGGGAGGCTAGGAAGCCTACTACTACTCTTCTCTTTTAGGATCACTTGGGCCATTTGGAGACAGGAGGCACATATACAAAGAGGAAATTAATATTAACTGAGATAACAGGCTGGGGAAGAGATAACCACACATCACTGTTGAAACTACAGTTGATTCTAGATTGCTTGGGTCAGATTAACCATAGTTGAGGCATAGCAGGGACCTAGAGAAACTCACCCCCAGGGCAGGCCTCTCTAATTAGGTGGCCTCAGATACTTGGCTCTGATTGCTCTCCCAGGTGGGAGGAGAGAGTCAAGGCATAGGTAGGGCTGCACCTCAAGATGCCGGGATTGGGGCGACTCCACGCTCCACTCCAACAGAGGTGCTCTGCTGACAGATAATCACAAGGTGTCTACCTTCTTAACTGAAATTTGGGGGTCATCTCCGACTTTCCAGCAGCCCACCCTCCCTACCCCAGATTCACTTGATTCCCAGACCACTTAATATGCTCCTGAATAACTGAGAAGCAGAAGTATATATCTAAACAGTTATGAAGCAAAAGTTAACTCAAGTCACACTTCCTCTTTGAGCCAGCTTCCAGTGTTACATGGCGTAGATTGGTCTTCCTACTGTTTCTTTCCTTCTCCTTCCATCGCATTTTAGCTAAATCATGGGCCAAAATGGCTTCTGTAGTAAAGAGGAGGCTATAACCGTTATCTGTAACATGGTTTCTGTAGGAAAATGTATCGTGTGCTAAGGTAATACAGCACACATCTGCCTCTCCTCCAGTCCCTCCCACCCTGGCTGGGGCAACTGCTCCATGAAATCCCTTTGGTCCATGGAGGGTGGAAGAGACTAAGGAGAGAGGGTGAGCAGCAGGGAGCCGCGCTGCTTTCCTCCTCCCAGAATGCACACGGAGCGGCTTGCTTGCTTTTTATCTTGATTATATATATGTTGGGCTTTAGTGTTTGATTCCTTTTGAACAATGAATCCTGCTGTTAAGCAAAAAAAAAATACTGAAAACTACTGATTTAAGAAAGCTGGCGTTAAGTGCAATGCTGAACTAGTGATTTAAAAAAAGTTTGCTTAGGGACTTGAAATAATAATCCAGAAGAACAAATTCAATGTTAGTCCTGGACATACTCCAAGCTCAGGCTCTCTTGACTCTGCTCAGTTCTAAGAACACTGTAGCCTAGATCTTTATTTTCAGCCTGCAATTTGTAATCATGTCTCAACCCTGAAAGGAATGAAGTGGCATTCAGATTTGGGGGATTATAAAGATATGTGTATTTTATGCTTTTGCATTGTTTGCACTTGCGTTACAGACACAAAGATTTTAGAATTGTTCATGGAAGGCCCTTTTCCTGAACATACTTTTTCTTCCCATCTCCTAAAGAGAACACTGAAAAATACTCTATTTTCTTTGTGTCCAGGCTAGAAATGACTAAATAATGTTAATGCATCATAACTTCTATTATTTTCCTCATGTGGGGCTTTGGGTACACTAAAAGCTTTGTAGCCCTCTCATGTTCTGTCATGAAACATGGCATCTGTGGAGACAGCACTGTTCACTATCTGTTTGGTTACCAAAAGTGATGCTGGGAAGTAAGAGCTGGAGCCAGTCACTGGAAGCCGGGCATTTCTGATTTTCTTGATTACCCTGATTCTTCTAAGTTTCTTAACAGCTTGATTCCCAGGAACAAGGATACTAGCTTTGCTGATTTCACAGGATTGCTGTGAATTGAAATGAAGGCTTTTGGCAAATATCAAGAGCTCTCGAAAACTACATGGTCCTGCCCCCTAACGTGAACAGGGCTCTGCATTTTTCACAGGACACCTGTCACGACACCTGTTATCTAAAGCCGTCTTGACTTCCTCTCCCGGTACACTGAGATTCAGTCTCTTCAAAGAGAAAACAAAAACTATAAAAGCTGCAGGACTTACCTTGAGTAACTATATTGAGAGTTTTCATAATCTTTATATAAATGTCACTGTTCAAGAAAGAAGAATGGAGTATCATGCGTATGTATTTGTAACTTAAATTTTATTGTCCACTACCACGTTGTTAACTGTTGCATACAGATTTGGCATTTAAGTTTTCATTCACAGAATTTCATATCGCTTTATGTATTAAAAACAGAGGTATTACAAGGAAGGGTGTAACAGCAGTAGTGTTTTACATCTTCTTTATCTCGTTCATGTCCATGAAGTAAGTAGAGCTAACAGGAAAGCACTAATCTCTGGCTGGAATGTACATTTCAAATGTGTAAACAGATGTTTCCATGTCTTAGTTGTGTTAAAACAGAGAGACATTACAAAGATAATTGTAGAACCGGTAAAGCTATGCTTTTTTTTTTTTTCCCTAAAAGCAATGTTTGGATGTTTACATAGCTCAAAATAAGGTTTTTCATTTGGAAAAATTCTTGAGTTTTCAAACCTAGTACAAATGAGCTGCCCTGGATATTTGAAATGCAGCATTTTCCCTTTCCCTCATTTTGTATTGTTACAGAGGAAATGGGTTTTCAGTATACATGATTTGTGGGGGAAAAAACTCCATATTTAATTCCAAAATATTCCATAGACTGGAAAAAAATGTCTTTTGGAGTAGTCCTGTTTATAGTAACTCTACAGTCAAAGAATTTATTAGGTTAGTGCAGAAATACAAACAGCTTTATCGAACAAAATACCTATTTTCTAGCTGCCTAACAGAAATGATTTACTCATGAAAACAGAACAAAATTTCTCAGTTTCATTATTCAGCTTTGTAAATATTTTGCCAGAGCTTTTTTTTCCCTTGGGGTGGGGGAAGCAAATAAAAAGAGTTTAAAAGTTCACATGTGTCTATTTTGTTTTAGCTTGGTGTATTTATTCAGGGTGAATTCTGTATGTCTTTGCAGTTCATCAATATGTGTATTTAGAAGTTTTTCAAATTCTTTCGCTCGCTTCTCTTCCTCCAGAAGGAAATGCTGTGTAGCCAAAGAGGCTGGGAAGACTATATCTGGGGGAGACTAAAGAGAGAAAGAGATGTTAGGTGAGGAACACAAAGCCTTTTTTTTTTTTTTATTGTTTTTTTTTTTTTTANTTCTAGGAGAGAGAGAGACAGCGTGAGCAGGGGAGGGTCAGAGAGAGAGGGAGATACAGACTCTGAAACAGGCTCCAGGCTCCGAGCTGGCAGTCAGCACAGAGCCCGACGCGGGGCTCGAACCCACGAACCGCGAGATCACGACCTAAGCGAAAGTCGGACGCTTAACCGACTAAGCCACCCAGGCGCCCCCACAAAGCCTTTTAAACCTTTCTGTTCCCAGGCATGCGTCCCCCCTGGAATGCTGGCAAGTGGTACAACTCGTAATGAAATAGTCCAGGCAGAAGTCTCTCTACTGGTATAAAGCAGGGACTGCTCGTGAAATCCTCGAGCAATGAAAACAGCACCGCACCATTATATTAAAAAGCTCTAGAAATAAATATTACTGTGTCCAACTGCAAATGCAGGGCCCACAAAATTACCACGGAACTTGCCTAAAACATACTCAACTACTTTGTAAAGCCAAGGGTTATCTGAAAATAAGCAACTCCAAAAAGCTAAAGATCACAGTAGGACTTGAGCAAAGAAAGCTTGTATGGGGGGGAAACTAAGGATTGGCTGAAAATGGGAGCTAACTGCTGTTTGGAGTTGGCTGGGTAAGGAGGGTGGCAGCGTGATGCATCCTGGGTAAGAGTGGCTCCCCCCTGGGGAACGCCATGACTTGGGAATGTATCCTGTTTGTCCACTGAGAAAGCCTCAGTGGTAAGCACCCGGTTCCATACTTCATGGCAATATGGAAGTGCTCATTTAACTGTGACCTGTTATGTTCTTTAATTTATGCACGCACGTACACGTGCGCGCGCGCCCACACACACACACACACACACACACACACACAAGTGCTTCAATCAAAATAATGTTTTAGGTTAATTTAAAAAATAAGTTGGGGACGTTTGTACTTTAATTTTCTAGTTCTGGGATCCCTGGACTCTTCTTCAACTTTTGTTTTATTGGAAGAATGGAACTTTTCTAAAGTGTTTGAAGAGTCGATGATCTGTATGCCGGTGAACTTTGCTATAGGGCAATTTAGTTCATAAGTCCGGCCTCTGACAAAAGTGTATGGATCATGGCAGATGAGAGTGGAGTGCCGTATAAATTTATCCAAGTAGTAGCACTGGCTGTAGATTTGATGCTGGATAGAGTATCTTTACTACAGCCTCGGGTACATGATATACTACCGTTGACTTGGCAAATGCATTCTTTTTAATACCCAATAAAGAAGGGGGTTGGGGCACCTGGGTGGCTCAGTTGATTAAGCATCCAACTTCGGCTCAGGTCATGTTCTCACGGTTTGTGAGTTTGAGCCCACCGTTGGACTCTGTGCTGACAGCTCAGAGCCTGGAGCCTGCTTCAGATTCTGTGTCTCCCTCTCCCTCCGCCCCTGCCCTGCTCATGCTCTGTCTCTCTGTCTCTCAATAATAAATAAATGTTAAAAAATTTATAAAAAAGGAAGAGGATCAGTAGTAGTAGTTAGCATCCACATGGGGTAGACAACAACACACATACATGTTCTTCCCCAATGTTATGTGTTCTGTAAGGATGCTGCCACAGTAAGTTCTGAAGAAGCCTGGACCATCTGGACATTCCTGGGGTTATAGACTATAGAGCATAATGTAGTAACATTAACATCATGCTAAGATCTGATGAGCGAGCAGGAAGTGGCAAGTATGTTGCAGGCTTGGAAGGACACACACACTCCATCCAGAAAGTGAAAGATAAACCCCATAAATGGTTCATGGGCTTGACACAATTTTAAAAATATTTTCTTGTATATCCATTTGTTTTTTTGAGAGTGAGAAAGAGCATGAGTGGGGGAGGGGCAGGGAGAGAGAGAGGAAGACACAGAATCAGAAGCAGGCTCCGGGCTCTGAGCTGTCAGTACAGAGCCCCTTGCGGGGCTCGAACCCATGAACCGTGAAATCATGCCCTAAGCCACAGTGGGATGCTTAACCGACTGAGCCACCCAGGAGCCCTGGGCTTGACACGTTTTTCGGTGTACCATTATATGGAGCATTATAGGGCATCTAAGCACAAGTTAATGCACCTTGCGTTTCTTGTCACCGAAGAAGCACAACGCTTGGCAGGTCTCTTCAGGTTTGGGAAGCAGCATATTCCACTCTTGGGTGGCATAATCTGACTCATTTCCTGGATAACACCGAAGGCTATTTCTGTTTCATTTTGTTTTTCGAGTAGGGCCCAGGGCAATGAGGGGCACTGCAGTAGGTTGGAAATGGAGTACAAGCAGTCCTACCACTTGGGCCAAATGACTTGGAAGATACAATAAAAAAATTGCTTTGTACAGCCTCTGACAAGTCTCACTAGGCAAGGGACACTGAAGACCCTTAAGATTTGGGATTACGGCCATGCCATCTGTGGCAGAAAACTGTAGACTGTTTACAAAACAGTTCCCATAATGCTATTGAGCCCTGGTTGAGATGGAACATCTAAGAAGTGGGTACGGTGACTTGATCTAGCCTCTGTCCTTGGCCACTCCAGGGGAAATTATGGATGGGCCCAACAGCACCCAGGTTAGTTTAGCTAACTGTTGCTTGCTGAATGTCTGAGCTGCTTGCAGTAGAGACTAAAGCTTAGTTCCTGATATGGCACCATCCCTCAGAGAGACCGACCAGCCTCTTGGTGGCAATTTGTGTACACACCAGGTCCCTTTCACCTTGGAAAGGGCAATGTTTCATCCTTGCCGGAACTAACATATATCATATGGGTTTGCCTTTCCTGCTTGAAGGGCCTTGGCCTTGACCGCTATCTGAGAGCTCACAGTGAGACTGATTTACTGGCATGGGTTCCTGATTAGTAGTAAAGGAACCTACTTTACAGCAGAGGAGCATGGCTGTGCGGGCATGACCTTGGTATTCACTGGTCCTACCACATACAGCACTGTCTGGGGGATGCTAGCCTGATAGGCTTCTTGAAGGCAGAGCTGAGGCATCAGCTTGGAAGTTCTATCCTGTGAGGAGGGGGTACCGGTCTTCAGGATATGGTATAGACTTTAAACCAATGGCTCTTATATGCTACTATATTTCCAACAGGTAGAATACACGAATCTGGGAACATAAGGGAGGATGTAGGAATGGCTCTGCTGCATCACTTCTGTTGACCAACTTGGAGAATTGGTACCTTCTGTCTTTGTATCTTTAGGCTCTATTGATCTACAGGTCCTAGGTCTCGGAGGGGGAAATGCCTCCACCCAGAGATCTCTAAGAGTCCAACTACACTTAAAGCACTAGCTGGCACCTAGCCACTTTGGCTTCCTCATGCTGACAGATCAGAGGCACAGAAAAGAGGTACTATACTGGCAGGCGTACCTGGCCCTAATCATCACAAAGACTGTCTAATGGAGACTGTGAAGACTATGTTTTATATTTAGGTGAGCCACTGATGTTTCTTTTTTTATACTCTCATGCCCAGCGTTAACTGCAAATGGCAAACCACATCCTGATAAGGTCATAGGACCCAGGGGCTCACCCCACAAAGCAAGCTACCTGGCCAGCTGGGAGAGAGGGGAACCTAGAATGGGCGAGGAGATGATTATACCAAGGCCTTGAGACCAGCTGTAGCATCAAGGCCTGTAGTTTGTCCCACTAACCCTCCTTTTAGAAGTTTTCTCAGAAATTAAGATCAGCCCGAATCTTGGAGAAGACAGGTGTGAGTAGAACAAACAACAGGAGTCGAACACGGATCTGAGTGGTTCGAGAGGTGGGCGATAGTGGCTGCCGTTGGTGCCCTGCTAGAATTCCCTTCACCAGGTGGTGCATCTGTCCTCCAGCTGCTCTGGGTGTCGGTTCTCGGGAGACCTGTCCTCAGCTGAACTGGAGCCTCTGCCTCCTCCGGGAAGTTGCAATACCCCCTCAGGACGCTCCCTCTCCTCTCAGAGGCAGTGACTGACTGACAGGGGCACCGAATGCCAGACTTCTGTTCTCCAGGGGGACCACCTCTGTTGTGTAATTCGTGCCCCAAGCTCCCGGTGAGGCCAGGCCAATCTCACCTCTAGCTGAGCTCTTGCCCCGCTTTAGCTTTTCTCCCTTCCCCTAGACTGCTTCCCTGACTCTCCTCCTGCCAAGAATAGTACCCTCAATAAATCACTTTCATAAGAATCCCCGTCTCAGATTCTACGAAACCTGATCTCAGACAGATGACTTCCGAAATTCTGGCTTGAGTGGTGACTGGGTGACATCAACGCCATTTACTGATCAATGAAAAACAGTAAAAGGGGCCCATTAAGGGTAAGGCCTTGCTTATTTTTGATTCTCCAGGTTCTAGCAGTTTCTAGCACAGAGTATATTTCAAACAAACTTTGGAGTTAATAGATGATTGAAGAAAATGCTTTTGGTCTTAAATAATGCTGAGTTAGAGATGACTTGGGGCTCAAACAGATTGTCATGTAGACAATGAGATATATCAATCCAGATCCCAAAAGGTAGGTTTGGATTAGAGATATTTCAAAGTTAAGAGAATTAAAGCTGTGAGTCTGATGGAAATCATCCAAAATATACAAATAAAAACTGCAGTTCAAAAATGGAATCTTGGAGAGTGCTTCAGTTCAGGCACCCAGTCTCATGGCCGTGGTCTTGACATTGTCATCCACGATAATTTACTAATCAAGATGTTCAGCAACCCACCCATTACCCTTCCAGCTTATTTAGTCTCAAATTTCCACTTTCTCACATCATCCATTCCCTTCTGCCTCTGCTTATACTCCAGATCCATCATTGCAACCATTCCTCTGTCCTAGGTACTTGGTAAAACCCAGGCCTAAATAAAGTGCCTGAGGCACGCCTGTACCTGAGCAACTGAATGCTGGGGTGGGTGGATGGAGGGGGAATTCTGTTACTGCAGGGACTGCTACCCACCCATTCTAGTATATTCGTTTTCTCACTCATTACCTGGTGGCCTTGCCTCTTTCTTGGC